GCTAATTTTTCGCACATCGCAGCTTGACAGAGTCCTCAGCAATGATAAGTGCTACGCACAACTGATAACAGCGTGCGGCCTCGTATTTTTGGCCCATTCAACGTGCCGCAAGACCGCGTGCAACAGCGTTCAACAAGCTTACACCAATGCGTACTACGCTCCAGATTCGCCAACATTCCATAGATAACGGTACGTCAGTTAACGGTAAGCGATTGCAGAAAAGGCCACTGGCGAGGGCAATAAAGCAAAATTCAATTTGTTTCCGCAATTTATGCCGATGTGAACTAAAAAACCGTTTGCTGCATATCCGATTTAGTTGTTGTTGCTCTTGCTGTTGCTGTTGCTGTTGTTGCTGTTCGCTTTATCACAATCAGAATTTATGTGACATAAGGAAGTAAATTTGGGAACCTTGTTCTATCTGGGCAGCCAACAGGACGGCCTCTCGCTCAGTTGATTGTATTGAGAAATGAATGAAATTAGAATGTCTGATGGCATTTTGAATTGGATTTCGACGTTTGTTTTTTTGCGTGTCTCTCTCTCTCTCTCTCTCTCTTTTACTCTCTCTATCTCCCTCAGACGGATATTCCGTTTTCGTTCTGTTCATGCCGGTCGCCGTGTTTGTTGGCCAATTTCAGGCGACACCACAAGACAGGCCACAAAATGGCGTCCTAGCTTTGGCCCCCGGTCAACCACAGGACCATTTCCGTGTGCCCTTGCCCGCCTTCCGTCCGCTTTGCCCCTTGCCGCACTTCGCTTTTGATTGCTGTTGCATGTCAAAGATTTTGAGAGTCAAATGAAACAACACTGCAAAAAAAAGGGGGGCATAAAGAACAACAAAAATACCCTGAATAATGACTTAAATTACAAACTAGATTTTCAATATTGAGCTGTAACATTGAAACATTTATAAAAAAAACCTTAAAGCCGTTTTTTGTTTCGAGTTTTGCTGAGTGCAATCGATGCGAAATGCCAATTTTGTTTTTGTTTTTGTTGGCTACACTTTTACAAAACATTATTGATATTTCAATTGCAAAGCGTTCCATGTGACAGACGTCGAGTGGAATCAATAGCAAATGGAACGCAATAACGTAGAAAAGAAGAAAATATGTGGTTAAATTTATATTTATACAAGAAAAGTCATAACAAAATTCCATTTTATAAAAATATTCTTCACATAGGTTCTTCATGATTTTTTCGTTGTTTACAGGGTATTTCAAGCCGAGCATACCCCGCCACTGAAGCGGTTTTTGCATGCTACATTTTTTCAGGGCTGTTGTGTCACGCTGTTTGTTTAAACAGTTGGTGGATTCGGTAGGGGGCAACCCCCCTTATGGCTCATTAAATTGTTAAAAGAAATTCTTGAGGTGTTTGGGCCAAGTGCTTCGGCTGCGGCTTGGGCTTGTGCCTGTGCCTGTGCCTGTGCCTGTGCTGTTTGGCCACCTTTGATGGCTGCGGCACGAAGCACGCATAAAACCTACAAATGCCACAAATACGAGTCAAGTTTTTCTTTTTGTTGTTGTTTTCGGGCAAAAGTTTTACGAGCTTATCCCAAGAAAGAACTGCGAGTTTGGAGCAAGATGAAAAACACACGAAAACAAAAGCCAACAAGAAGAAGAAAACAAAAAACAAAAAAAAACAAAAAGTAAAATAAAAATAAAAACACGTGCCAATAACGCTGACTGCAACAAGCAACGACCGTCAACCGGAAACCATAACAACAACGTCAAACAACTCTGATGGGCTGAATTAAAACATGCCCCGGCCGAACAGCCGAAAGATACCGTATTGGGCTGCAGCAGCCCAGGTTGCGGTGGGCGTGGCCGGCGTGAGCAAAAACAAATGTTATAAGGTGCCAAAGGCCATAAAAGATGCAATCAAAATCAAACTGATTTGTCTCCGGGGAGCGTTGCCAACTTTTATGTTTACGAGCGGCTCACGGAGACTTCCAAATAGTGCATGGACTGCGGATACCCTGTACCAGCGAGCAATTTACTATTCCATTCAATTGAAGCTGCAGCTCCCCGAAATATGATTCACAAATTATTAATTTGCAAGCCCATTCAATTTATAAATTACGGATTTTATTTGGGCATTTTCTGCTCAGCTTAGCTTAGATTGAATCTATAGCGCAAAAATAACTGTGTATGAATAATTTACTGAATTTTATTTTTGTGGCTTTGTGCCGAAATTTGCGTAACGTTCACATGAATAAATAATTAATCAATTTATTTATTATGCTTGTAATTGAATTTTTGAATATGATTTTTAGCTATTTACTTTTTAATTATGCTATCTATATATGGACATTTAAGCCTAATTTGCCTGACTGCATAATTAAGTGCTGGACAAATTAGTGATCAATGAAGTGTAGAGAGTGAGAAAGAGAGAGGGAGGGAGAAAGGGAAAGAG